ATATGGATCACAGACAAACAACCACCTTTGCTAATAGCATCCAATGAGAGCTTATGCAAGTTAGCAAGACAATGATCAATCACTAGATTCACTACGAATTAGCATATATCCTGACAGATATTATCTCTTTTTTTTTTCTTTTTTTTCTTTTTTTTTGGTAAAGAACCTAACAGATATTATTGGCAATGATATTTTAGTAAAACTAGAGCAGGACCATCCATCACTTAATTGCATTCCATTAAAAATCATGAGCCACAGGATGATCCAGTAATGATGAAGCCCCTAAAGGCTAAGCCTACTTGTAGTATTCAGAATAGCAGCATGTGGAAGAAGAAAAACATTGTAACTGCCAAGATGCAGTGTACAGGTTTTCAGAACAGCTACTAGTTATTCATTTATTTGCCTTCAATAAAGAGATATAGAGATTGACCTTGATTACAAACACAAAAATATTAGACACCTACAGTTGTTTTTGATCAGCGAAAGAATCCTATTTGGAAATTTTCTGGTCCAACAACAAAGCTTGTACACAAGAACCCATCATGGATTGCATTTCAATATATCAATGTAGCATCCAAAACGGGAAAAAAAATAGCATCAGAAAATGAATATATAAATGCAATTAATTAAATTAACAAATTTAATCACCATGGAACACCGATCTTCCCAAACAAACATCAAATAAAATGAACCAAAACCACAAAAATACCTTAGTAGAAATCTCCCTTGTGCCCACTTGGACAGCACTAGCTGCAGATTGTGCAGCAGATGCAGCAACCAAGGATAACTTTCCAATCCCCTGCTTAAATACAAATTAAACAATTACCAGACAATAAACATCTTCACCCAACAACAACAAACCAATTATATTAAAAATAACAATTAACAAAACAAGAAACAATCCATCACCTGAGACACAACAGAGAGCACATCTCCCTATTATTCCCTTGGGAGGGCACAGGACTTGATCCAAACCTGACATACTTCCCACCTTGAGAGGGTGGGATCCCTTCGGGTCTCAACTCATTCTCTTGAATCTTCCTGGCAAAAAAGCTCTTGTTGTTCCCAGCAGAAACCTCCAATTGCGAGCGCATGTAGATATCCTCTGTCGACTGCAATCTGACTGGCACACCTCCCATCCCGCCACCATTACTGCCACCTCTAAAATCGCTAGCAGATTGATTCCTCCTCAAATCAGTAGAAGATCTAAACGAATCGTCATTATCCCAACTATCCCACCCACCACCACTCACAGAACCACCACTCTTTGCTCCTCCACCGCTCAACAGAGGCTTTTTATTAGAACTGCCGAGCATACTTGCATCAAAAGCCCCATACACTGCCATTGCACCACCAACACCAGACTCTCCAAGGGCTGGTTTCACAACATAATTGGTAAATTCAGCCCTGAAGTTGAAAACATCTCATGTTAAAGATGTATGGAAAAAAAAAAAAAAGGGTCAGCACTGGAAAACATATTATCATGGCAATGACCAAAGAAAGTACAGCTCTAAAGTTGATTGATGAGTTAACACAAAAGCTTGCTGTAATCCTGAGTAGGCAATAAGGGGAACGATCAATTGCATCTGTTTGTCACACAAAGCAGTGATAACTGACTTCAAAACAGATACCACAGAAGAATCAACTGGTCCCTTTTCTTCTTTGCTGTCAGTTTTACCTAAGAAGCACATAAGGATTGTGCCCAGTGTCATACTACAAAGAAACACAACAAAAAGCAGAGTTGTGCCTCTGGTACTCCCATCCTACATGTTAAAGAAAGGGTAATTAATTAGAACTCAGTAGACAAATTGGCAAACAAATGATAAATCATAGAGTTTAGCCAAAAGCAAAGAGAAGCATCTGTAACCTAACCACGAAAGCAGCGTACCTCTCCATCTCTCAGCAATGCAAGTGACATAAGGTTTCCAACAAACTGAAATTTAGGAAAGCAGGGCTAATATTTAAAAGGTCTGTGAGCAAGTAAAAATTGATTGATGGAAAAAGCTATTATGACCAAACCAATATAATAAATTTGTTAAGTACTCATCAGGGGCGCACCTGGTGAAGGGCAAATGTTCCCCAAAATTCTCCATTGAATTTGCCAATTACTGTTCCTTCATGAGAGTTGAAATCTCTTGCATGACTGCATGCAAAGGATGTCAGGTATGTTCCCTGGTGGAACCAAAATTGTTAGGAAGATGAAAATGCTGGAGTTCCAACTTCAGTTGTTGTTATGTATAAAATATGATGAAACTTGAAAGAGCTAGAAAAATGTAGAATATGAGCGCGCCTCACCAACCCATATTATTGAGGCAGCAAAACCAAGATACAAAGAAGCTGGTACCATGGTATACCTACAGGAATATAATTAAAAGATATTTAGTTGCAGGGTGCCAGCAATCCAATTAAGAGCATGGCTAAGTAATTACCATGATGGCTTCAAACTTGCTGCTATGAACTACCAATAAGGCAATAACCACTTGTCCCCAGAACCAGAGCATTCTTTGAACCCAGAGCACTAACCACCAAAGATACAACTAAAGAGAAAAACATGAAGAAGACATACAAAATCCCAAGTGATATTGTACCCAAATCTCCTGCCTGAAACCGAATTCAATTTCAGAACCATCAAAATCATTGACTCAACAATCTAATTCTACAGAAACATAGAAGACAAATCCTTCTCAAAATCAGATGGAACACACAAGTTTTTCCTAATTCAATTCCTATTTGACATACAAATTCTAACAACAGGATCATGAAATGGAAACTCACAGCATTGACAGTAGTCTCCAAATTCTGTGCAGCTCCATGGGCAAGAAAGATCAGCAAAAACGCAGAGCTCAAGATATGCACATCTCTTGTGTGGTTCTTTGGGGTTGGACTCTGCAAATTATCCATAATAAGAGGTGCCTCCTCATCACGAGAATCCACAGAATCCATTGCTACCAGCTCTCCAGCTCCCACCAATCATAGAATTGCCTTAAAACCTTAGAAATATGGGAGATGGTCCAAGAGTGTGAGGTCAAGAAGAAAGCTTGACAACCAGAATCATTAGGACTAGAGGATGAAAATAAGAATTTGGGGTGTGAGATAATTTAAACTAAGACGACTCTGTTTGTTTGGTGAGAAAATGCAGGAAATGAAAGAGAGTTGAGAGGATTCTGAAGATTCTTTAGTTACTTTAATCATCTACAGACTACAATCTCCAAGGGAATCAAGATGAAAACATTCAGCTCTTCAAATAATCCAAAAATGATGACCCCCATAGGGAAAGGACGGTGATGTAAGCAGAAGAGGACATGTTGTGATTTTGATTATTACAAAATACATTTGAGTGATTAATTAATTTATTTAAATGTTTAGTTAAATTGTCAATATACTACAAAGTAGACAAAATGAGATTGCATTAAAAATGGCTCAAAGGGTAAAAATATGTAGAGAGCCGACTTAAGAAAATTGCAGTCGACTCTGGGAAGCAAAAATGCAGAGAGCCGACTGCAGATTTTGTTGAACCGACTCTATAGGTCAGAAATTCAACTGCTGTTTTGCTGCGCATGAAAAATGGAAGTAGAGTCGGCTCCAACTTTGTAGTCGGCTGTGAGGGTGCATTTAATGTACAATGGTCGAGTTATTTGAAGATTATTTAATGGGTTTAAAGTTGGAATCCCAAAGCCGGCTCTCCTAATAATCCTGCAACTCGAGCTTTGCGTCCTGCAGGGCATTAAATGACCCCCAACGGCTAGTAACGGTTATTTTCGACTATGAGGTTATAAATATGGTTAGTAGAAGATCTGAAAGAAGTTTAGAGAGTATTGTATTGAATATCTTTACCTACCTACATAAGTTTTAACTTGAGTTTTTGATCTTTGAGAGATCTTTTCTTGTTCTATTTGTGAGTGATCTTGGGGGTGTAATTATTCCTTCAAGAGTGATCTATTGGGAGAATTCGTGGGGTTTACATTGTAAAGGAGTGAGATTTGAGAAAAATACTCATCTTCTTCTAAAAGAATTGAGTGGCTCCTTTAAGCCACCCTTGTTGTTGTTAGTGAAGAGTGTTGAGGAAATCCTTGATGAGTGAAATCAAGGTAAAGGACTAGACTCCATGGTTGGATCAAACATCTATAAATCATTGAGCAAGCTCTTCTTTTCTATTCTCTTTAATTTTGGTTTTATGATTGTAAAAATGACAGAATTTTTGGAACTCCAATTCACTCCCCTCTTGGAGTACATTGAGTCAACAGGACATAATTTGAAATTTTTATTTATTTCTTTGGAGCTTTTGCATGATTACATTCAACTGATAATCATCAACCTTGGATGGTAGTGGAATTTTGAGTCAGCAGAACCAAGAATCTGGAGCAGCAAGCACGCATTACTCATATTAAGGAACAAAATCCTCAGAATCTGGCCTGGGAAAAACATTAGTTCATGATTGATCATATTGGCTACATGCAAGACTACAATCCAGAAGGACCAGAAGTATTCTTTACATAAATTACTCGACTTACTGATTTATAAGAATAGTGAAGAAGAGGGAGTAAAGGTAGAAGATGAAATATGTTGCTTCAAGATAGGAAAGGAAACCATTATTGTTGCATATATGTTGATGAGTTTCGAGTACAACAGCAGGGAACTTTCCATTGTCCAAAATTTCTGCAGTAAGCAGAATAACACCGCACCGTTAAGGGATTACCAAGTGCACTGGCATTTGGTGAGTAACAAATGACGAATCTGTATAGGCAAAAGCAAACAACAAGGGGAGTGTGGTTTCATCTTGACCAGAAAGTTTTATTGGGTTTTCAGCCGTCCAAAATGCTGCCAAGGGTGGTCAATGCATCTTCAAACTTGTGAATTTTAAGAAAGCCTCTTATCATGGAAACCTTGCTGTCCGAGCAGTTTGCTTTCTTCATTATCATATCAACAAGTTTTACCAAGGTGTCTTCCATATATAAAGCACATAGTCCTTCAGCTAGCATATAGAATGATGAGAATTCCGGTAAAAATCCTTTCTCAACCATCTCAACCACAAATTTAACAGCTTCTTGTATTGGTCTACCTCCACTGCAGAGCCCACAGAAAACAATCTTATATGTGACAGCATCTGGTGGATCACCCTTCTCCATCATTTCTCTGAAAAGTCTCATGGCTTCATTAGTTCTTCTCCATCTAAATAGTGCTTGAATAACAGGGTTATAAGCATGTGGGGGTCAAAGCCATTCCTTTCATTTGAACAGTTATAAGGAGCCTTCTTGCGACCTCAACTCTACCTGCCTTACAAAGTCCCCCAATCAGGGTTCCATACGTAACAATATCAGGCTCGCACCGATTGGAAGTCATAGTCTGCACAACATCTGCTGCCTTTTTTATATCCCCAACCCTACAAAAGTACGTAAGCAGAGAATTGTATGTGAACTTCTCAGGCTTCAACCCTTCCATTAACATCTGGTCCATTAGCTGTGCAGCATCCTCTACCCTTTTTGCTCTTGCAAAGACCATCAATAAGGGTGTTATAGGTCACTGAATTTCTTGAAACTCCTTGAAGCTCCATTTCATCAAAGATCTCCTCTGCTTCTTCAATCCCCTTGTTTTTAATAAATCCATCAATCAAAGTATTGTACGTGACAACATTCCTAGCACACCCACTCAATTCCATTTCTTGGAGCAAGCTTAAGGCCTCTTCCATTTTCCCTCTAGAACACAGAATGTCAATCAACATATTGTAAGTATATTCATCAGGCTGGCATTCTTTGTTCTTCATCTCCTCAAACAATTCCATAGCGCTGCCATGGTTTCTTGTCAAGCACAGACCTTTTATCAAAGAATTAAACGTACAAACATCAGGTACAAAAAGTTTTAAAAACCGAACCGGAGGTCAAACCGTTTTGGCCTCCGGTTCCCGGTTTAACCGGTTTAACCGGTTCAACCGTTCAAACCGCCGGCTCAATCCAAATGAATAAATATAATGTTGTGTAGTACTTTGACAAAATAGGTGCGGTGGATCAACTGGTTTGTAACCTTGTCCATTGCGGAGGAGGCGCAAGTTCGAGCATGCTCCATGTTAAAATGTATGTAGAGTGTTTTTAAATTTATAATGGGTTTTTTAATATATAAAATGTATAATATATGTAATTTTTTTATTAATTTATATAAAAAATATAAAGATTGACTTTAAATTAATTAATTA